TCAGGATTCCAACGTAGCCGAACATGACATCTGTGGTGGAGGATCAATTATGAATCGGGGTGGGATCAGTAGAACTGGAACTACCGATGTCCATGTCCTACAGATGTGCGCTACTACGATGACATTATGGATGTGTACGTGAGACCGTGCAATTGGACCGGATTTCATCCTCGTGGACCACAAGGCATGACCTCATCGTGTCAGTTTCGTTGATGCCTACTTAGAGCAAGATGCCATTGTCCTCGTGAAGTGGACAGTCTGGTCAGACCTCCGTCCTATCGAACACATGTGGAACCAGTTGCAGACCACCCTCTCACGACGCTCTGTCCTTCCGACAACTCTACAGGAACTCGGGAATGTTCTTTATGAAGAGTGAAAAAATCCTCCTTTTCCACCTATTTTGGGGAGCATGAGACGACGGTGCCGGGTTGGGATCGCATTACGTGGATCACATGCGCTACTGAGAGGTGTTTTTTTCACAATAAAGTTGTTTTCGTGAGGTTTTGACGTTTCAATTTTGGTCAGATACTCTCATTTTGACGGGTGACCTGGCTAATAATTGGTCACAAGTTGTTTGTTGCCATTGTGTGGCACATGACAACGTACTTTTGTTAATTGAACACGTCTTCGCGCAATTTTGTCTTTGGCTATTTCAACAAATGAACAACATTTGATATATTACCTGTTGGTGGTGATGCTAAGCAAGCTTTGAGTAGTATATAGTTTTAGCCGTGTGACTTTGTTGTGTTCAGTGAGTAGCACATAACACTGACAATAATTAAGCAGATAATTATAAGCTGTTATTAGAAAATGTTTGTTGACACCACGACGTCGGTGCTTCCATAATGTACACACGGAAGTAAACATCTGTAAGGGATGTAACGCTATGGGATTAAGCTCGATTGGATGTTTATGCTTTATAAATCATTATGGACATCCATCCAGTATTAAAAGCTGACCATATTTTTCAATATTTATTGCTGTCTTCTTTAACATGGTGTCTTATGCTAAATGTGACCACAGATATTTTCAAACCGGTGACATTTGGTATGGGGCTGGGGTGGTATGAAAGAACTGGCTGAGCTAGCCAGTCGAGTTGGTGGTCGAGTAAGCACAAGAATACAGTGACCAAATTACTTTCCCCATATCTGCCTTTATCTATGATCAACATTAAATAATGATACAAACCTTTTGTTGTAGTACTATTACTTTTCAGTCATCAAATCGTTATTGAATATACGCTTCAGATTTATTTAAGTAGTATTTAGAAATATTGTTTCTCTATGTTCTACTTTGAAAAAACAACAACAAAAGAAATATTAGTTCAGACATGGAGCCTCTATAAGACACCTGTATAGGCCTAAGTAACTGAGACTATTTTTTTCCAATCTGCCTCCTTAATTGTTTTAATTATACAGTATTTACATGAACAAAACGCGTGCATACTTACTCAGAAGTTATCTCTATCACATTCTTCTTAAATAACGTGTGGAAACGGCAGGAAGTAGCAAGGTCGTAGAGTAGTAGTGAGTGAGTGAGTGCGTTTGGTTTTACGCCGCCTTTAGCAATATTCCAGCAATATCACGGCGGGGGACACCAGAAATTGGCTTAACACATTGTACCCATGTCGGGATTCGAACCCGGGTCTTCGGCGTGACGAGCCAACGCTTTAACCACTAGGCTACCCGACCGCCCCTCGTAGAGTAGTAACCCTCAACGGGTGACCATCTATCTTATGCAGTTCAGTAGTAGTAGTAGTTCAGTACTTGCAAATGCCTTTTCTATGGCTAGTTTGTGATACTTGAAACAAACTAAGGTGACCGTTATATCATCTGATTCATGAGGGGGCGGTCGGGTTAAAGCGTTCGCTCGTCACGTCAAAGACCCGGGTTCGATTCCCGACATGGGTACAATGTGTGAAGCCAATTTCTGGTGTCCCCCGCCGTGATATTGCTGGAATATTGCTAAAAGCGGCGTAAAACCAAACTCACTCACTCACTCTGATTCATAGTCTAGATGAATTCTATTTTAACATGGGTGTATATATTATTTTCCCTTATATTTCCCGGCAATATCGAAATACTGCCAGCGGAATGAGCCCAATTTGTTATTCACGCACAATTATGTTAGGGGTAGGTAATTAATTGTGAGCTGTGCCGTGCAGATAGTAGGTCGTTATCGTTTTGGTTTGTTTTGTTGTTTGGTTTGTTGTTTTACGCCGCACTCCGCAATATTCCAGCTATATGACGGCGGTATGTAAATAATCGAGTCTGGACGAGACAATCAAGTGAATAATATCATGAGCTTCGATCCACGCAATTGAGATCGATGACATGCATCAACCAAGTCAGCGAGCCTGACCACCCGATCCCGTTAGTCGCCTTTTACGACAAGTATAGTCGCCTTTTACGGCAAGCATGGGTTGCTGAAGACCTATTCTACCCAGGAATCTTCACGGGTCGTTATCGTTTTGGGAAGATGCTAGTTCGTGTATCCCTACATATCCAGCACCTGGAAATGGGATCAAACCAGTGTTGTTTGTCTCAAAAAGCGGGCAAATACAACAACGGAACGTGACTAGAGACTGGGCAACTGTCTGTGTCGGTAGTGGAAATAGACTTTGATAAAACATATTCTTTTACGCATGTGTTAACATTTGTTATTTAGCACATGCTTTGTTACGATTTAGTCATATAATTTGCTGAAGTAATGTGCATCACATTCGAGAGATTTCAGTTAGTTGCGTGATAATTGTTTCGTGTAAAAATCGGCAAGATAAATGCAGGAGACGTTATTGCTCTGGAGATGCACTACGACTCATTGAAAAGAATCGAGTACTGTGAACCGCATACAGACGCAAGAGGGAGCAAACCATGCATGTCAATTTGTTTTTAATATTTATAAAACATATGATTAAAATATTGTTTGCGTCATTTTGCGTGATTAAATGTACAAATTACAAACCGGTTTTGGAAGATATTTGAAAAATGTATGTTCAAACCAGTACATATTTAAGGTATATCAGTGTGCAATCTGACCTACAATCTGGATTAAAGCGGGTGAGGAAGTGAAAGCCGTGTTAAATGTTAAAACTTAGATCATAAATATAAAGACATCTCGCTGGAGCGCGACTCCATTCAAGATGGCGGCGCCCAGCGAGTGATCGCATTCGATGTTGTCAGGGTACCATATAACTGGTAAGTGATGTTCTATGTGATAGTATATGTGACGTAAGGGAGGTAGGTTACCGGGGAATGAGAGTCAGTCGTAAGTCTGGTTGAGAGTGCTGCTGTGTGCGCCCGCACATGTCTTGTTATCAAATATGTAACCGAATAAACAACCTTGACTCAGGATATCACTGTCATCTGGGCCATATTCCGATCTAACACTGGTGGCAGCGGTGGGATTCTTTGGTAATGGAAGGGGACCGGAATTATATGTGGCCAGTGGCTATGCCAAGAAAATTGTCAGGACGAGAAAACTGGGAGGAATGGTTGGAAGAGTTTGAACCCTGTGCCGTTATGTATAACTGTGACTGTGACAAGAAAGATCATGGCTTTGTGTTTGAAAGATGAAGCAAAATCAATCTACCACAGTTTTACAACAGCGCAAAAGAATGACTTTGCACATTTATCAGATGCTTTGAAATCGTATTTTTCTCCAAAAGAGTCGAATTTACAAGGTACAGCTCCAAGATAGGAAATTGTTGAAAGGAGAATGTGTTTGGATGTTCTGCTCAAAGATATGAAAATTAGCTCACAGAGCATATCCAGATAAGAGAGCTATTGACGTTGATAGGCTAGCCATGGATCAGTTTATAAAAGGATTAGTTCAAAAAAAGGAACTTACACTTGCTGTAAGCCATACTCAAGTGGAAACCGTGGATCAGGCAGTGATAGAAGCCTCTGAATAGCATCTGTTGAAGCAACAGAAACTTTTCGATCCCCTGTTATAACTGCAGAGACATAAGCACCGAGTGTTGTTCTCAGCAACAAGAAACAATTATGAGTTACATTGCACAACAGCAAGATGTCCTTTCAGGAATGGCTGACACTATTAAAACAATAACCTTGGGCGATAAGAGGTATGGACAGCGAAAGTGTTACAACTGTGGACAGCCAGGCCATAACCATGGGACTGTAGAAGGCTTCAGGGCAGGAATAGGAATCTGAACGGGTAGGGGCCAGGGGGAGGGAGGTGAACAGTGAGCCAGAAAAGTAGAACTTGCTCCCCTGCTTGATATGGTTTAGCATGAGCTTAGCGAACATACTACTGTTCCTGATACTGGGGTGATCTTTGTAGATTTTCCTTGACTATTACATAAGCTTTGGTCATCCGGGTACTATTTGTTCCACACAATTCCCCTTTTCTTCCACATTTGCCTGTTCCCGTAAGTCCATACATGCTATCTATTGGTAGATTAATTTCTCTACCAAAAACATGGTAGTTTGGAGTATACTTGGAAGAACCGTGTACACTGGAGTTATTAGCCTTCGTCACAAGAGTCAGATCTTCATCCCAGTCTCGTTGATTTTTGGCAACATTCTTGTTTAACATTTCACTTAAGGTCTCATACAAGTCCTCATAAAGCATTCCATCAGATTCCGAGTGATAAAGACTTGTACGTTTATTTATGATACCAAGTCTATCACACATAGATTTGAATACTACTGATTCAAAGTTTCTACTTTAATCAGAATGTAGACTTTTCGGAATTCTATATCTGCTAACAAACCCGTACACACGATGTTTTGTGTCAGTTTGTGCTCTCTGATCCGGCATATAAGAGCATTCCCCATGCATTGTAAAATAGTCCATTACCACTATAATGAAACAGTTACCTCTTTCTGTATCTGGCAATGTAATATCTACTGCAATCTTTTCTGGTGGTTGTACAACTGGGTTAGGGTAAGGTGTTTCCATTAACGGTGCTTTTTTTTAGATTTGCAAGCATTCCTTTTCACACACTACATACAACTGACACACCATTCCTTCACGTCACGTTTCGTGCTTACCCAAAAGAATCTGAACCGTATTCTCTCAAGTGTGCGTTTATGTCCAAAATATCCAGATGTTATGTTGTTATGTCAAAGTTTAATTATATCTCCCCCCCTACATTCTGGAACAAATCTCAAGTTCTTGGTACTAACCTTTTCATCGCCTGATTCCCATCCGTAAGACAAAATGCCATCCACCTCTTCAAGTAAGTCCCATTCAGACCGGTGTCCTTGCATTTCTCTTGACAGATTGTGTTGGTTGGTTGGTTCGTTTGTTGTTTTACGCCGCACTCAGCAATATTCCAGCTATATGACGGCGGTCTGTAAATAATCGAGTCTGGACCAGATAATCCAGTGATTGACATGAGTATCGGTTCATGCATTTGGGATACGACGATATGCATCAACCAAGTCAGCGAGCCTGACCAACAAATTCCGTTAGTCGCCTCTTACAAGCATAGTCGCCTTTTACGGCAAGCATGGGCTGCTGAAGACCTATTCTACCCCGGGTCTTCACGGGTCTTTGCAATTTTAATGATATTCGGAAAGTAGAGTTTATGCTCTCCAGCCCAGAAGTGAATTTACTATCTGCCGAAGCCTGCCGTGACATTATCGCCAAACTATCTGATGTTTTATACAATAAATGTCAGCGTGATCCTTCTTATCTTATAGATGTTATTATTAAATACGATGTATACCTTTAATAGTCTCTCATAACTCCGCATGGGGTGGCTCGTTATATTATAGTGTTGACCCTTTTTGGGTCGTTATATTATGCATGCACTTTTATATAATAATTATTTTTGTATCTCAAACGGATGTAACGAGGTGAGACTTTAATAAGATATCTGTCTGTCCGTCTTCTATAAAGTAAGTCATTTATTAATTTTAAGCCGAATTGCAGTGAGTTGTATTGCAATAGTTGATGAATAATATAATAATATTTTTTTCAGTTAGGTTGATGAAACCCACGAAGTCAAATTGTTAATGGCGGGTTCATGTATGCTGACGTTTGTGCGGAAACACAGACTGTTACTAGTAAGTTTCTTGCCACATTTTAACTTCAGCCAATCACTCGGTTTTTTTGCTCTTGCTGAAAGGAAATATGCCTACACAATACATTTTACTGGTAGTGATTGATGTACATGATTATTAATTACGTTCTGTTTTCCACTGCATGATGGACACACATTGATACGTTGCCTAACAGACTGAGCTTGTCTGTAGCCATTAGTGTTAAAAGATTACAAATGTTGGGGTTTACAAAACCCTATTGTTCGATGTATTTACGCAGGATAGTTTAGTTGGTTGGTTTGTTGTTTAACGCCGCACTCAGCAATAGTCCAGCCATATGACGGCGGTCAGTAAATAATCGAGTCTGGACCAGACAATCCAGTGATTCATATCAGGAGCATCGACCCACGCAATTGGGATCGATGACATGCATCAAGTCAGCGAGCCTGACCACCCGATCCCGTTATTCGCCTTTTACGGCAAGCATGGGTTGCTGAAGACCTATTCTACCCCGGATCTTCACGGGTCGGATAGTTTAGTATTTGGATAGTTTAGTATTTGGGTCAAGTCATAACTTTTGAAAAGACACGGTTATTGCACATGAGAAGTTTGCTGTAGAAGGGATGTATTACAGAACTACTCCTAGAAAGTATTCATGTTCTGTTGCCCTTGCAGGCCGGTGACTTATAACTCACGTTAAAAGAAGATCCTCATATGTTCTGGAATTAATGTGTGATACAAACATGTACATCGCAGTTACTCGAAATGACATGTCCAATAAGCCTGCTATAGGACATTTAAAATAATATCGATAATGAAACTGTGGGTGAGTGAGTGAGTGAGTCGGGTTTAACGCCGCTTTTAACAGTATTCCAGTTATATCACGGCGTGTCAGCTTAATGTGGGAGGAAAGCCCGAAGTGATGCAGGACTCAGGCGGTTACCACTTCGGTGAAACCCACGAGCACGGGAATGGTGCTGACAAACCTAGAAACATAATCGGGGCGAACCGGGATTCGAACCCACAATCATAGGTTTCTGGCGTGCCAAAGGGACGCAACTCTGCACAGCGAATCGTGGCGCCTTAGACGACTGGGCCACCCGTTCCCCCCTGAAACTGTGATATAAAATCGAATGACATTGTTGATGAAAAAGAAGAAGCAAACTGATTATTGCCGGCCCAACATTATCTAACATATTAATGTTGTCAAGTTGGTACGCTTCTATACGAGTAATTCATTGTACAAAAGGTATTCTTTTGAGCCCGTATGAAAACTCTCAGCCGAAATATGACGAATTCTGAACCAAACGTGCAAAAATCGATATTGCTACCATGCATATGGTTGGCATGTTTAAAGTCAGATTCAAGTTCTGTAAGAAATTACAGACACAATTGCTATGAAAATGTCCTGTATGGACACAATTTCAACTTCAGGAACTTCAGATGAGGTAGTAAATTTTGTATCAATGGGGATATGTGAAGATCAAAGGTCATGACGAAGTTCTATAAATCACGACTACACTACACATTTATACATGATGTATGCGTCCATAACGTTGGCGCCCCAAAGCGAAATTCTATTAAAACGGTTTACCAGATTGTAAAATTTGATTAACTCAAGCATAATAAATTGGCTTGTAATTACTGCTTCAACTGCTGAACAGTATTATAAACATTATATGGAAGCATAGTGGTGTCATTCTAAACCGTTCAAAAACTTGTCTTCAGTGTTGAAAATGAGTCAGCTACCCACGTGAACTAAGAATTGGAGGAGCATTTATCTCTGACAGTGTAGGACAGGTAGCATTACATTTTACGGATGGTCATTTTGTTGTGATGGAAGGTTTCTGACGTCATAGACATTAAGTGAATAAGGGAGTGAGTGCGTCAGGGTTATCGCTCCTCGTAACAGTATTCGAGTTTCACCACGGCGTGTCGTTTTGTTAAGGGAAGAAAGACAGAAGTGATGTACGTAACAGACGCTTACGACTTTGGTTAATTCCACAAGCACGGCACGGGTATAGTGCTGACAAACCTATAAATTAAATCGGGTCGAACCGGGATTCGACCGGGACCAGACAATCCAGTCAATGTAACGGTTGATCAGACTATTGTTACATTGCAGCTGTTCAAGGACCGACGTCTACTTTACAATTTATCTGAATAGACATCCATTCAGGAGTCATGACTTTATCAATAGATTGCAAGTGATTTCATGGGATCAGATCGGATAACACAGCATTTTCTTTTGCGTGGGTTGCCATAAACCTAATTACAAGTAGACCACGCCCACTAGCAAATATAACGGACCACTGTTTCCTGACTGGCTGATAATTTGTTTGTTGTTTAGCGCCACACTCAGCAATATTCCAGCTACATGACGGGAATCTAAATAATTGAGTCTGGACCAGACAATCCAGTGATTGATATCATGAGCATCGATCCACGCAATTGGGATACGATGACATGTACAAACCAAGTCAGCGAGCCTGACCCCATCTCGCGTTAGTAGCCTCTTGCGACAAGCATGGTCGCCTTTTTCGGCAAGCATGCGTTGATGAAGACCTATTCTCCATGTCTGATCATGGGACTTCTCAGATCCATAGTATTGGTGGCCATCACGCCACAAAGGTAGTAAATTATCCAAAGAGGCTAATGATATGTTTAACGAATTTACAAATATTTCCACAATGTTTATATCTACTTTATTTATTTTGCTGCGTTTTGTTTACGTCTCAGTATAAGATGTGCATGCTTCAATAATTAAAAGGTTCTTTTGGCCGGGATCGAACACGTAAAACGGCTCTCTTCAGTGTGAACGACACATTTAGTTGAAGTCTTTGGAGTTAACCCCCCTTATGAAACTGATCATGGCTGACAACGCAAAGTTGAAAACGTAGCTTTTTTTGTGACACGGATGCATGAATAAAATTTTACATTACTTCCACATTTGAAGTATATTTACAAGGTTGCTGTCATTAGGCTGCACATATATCTGTACCAACATTCGTGTTAGTGCGCAGATACATGCAGAACTGCGTATCATTCATTTTGAAGATATGTAAATATGTCCGATGTGGCGCAAAATTATTTATTTATTTCAAACTAGCTGAGTTTCTAGTAACGACGTGTTAATTATCAAACCCTCACCTGTAGTTCAACACTTAGTGCGTGAGATCTTGTTGATTTTGGCTGTAATTCGCCTCTCACAAAGTAGCAGATATATCTGATGATTGCCTTCCCAAAACGGGAGCGGGCCCTTACTTCTTCAACGTCATGGATTCGAGCTCGCTTTCTGAAAACACGCACTTTCCTTTCGCGTCCTAAGCGTTCAAAAGTATGTTCACAACCATGTTTGTTTTTAATGACACGCTAATGATGCCCCAAAACCTTCATTAAGTTAAAGACGCGCTAATGACAGCACGACGTCATTAAAACGTAAGTACAACTGGATTTAATGACACATTTGTTAATGAAGGTTTCATGACACGTTTCATACAACCGGGTCCTGAGTACTTCAGCCGTACACACATATAACAATCTGACAGCAGCACAGAGGTAGTTCAACTACAAGCAACACATTACCATCGAGACCACCTTTAGGGGTTCAAGGGAAGATGGAGATATAAGTGGATATACCCTCGAAGGGGGTTGAAGTAGTGTGACGTCATCCTATTGTTCTCCAGTCAGTTGAAATCTCATAAACAGGGACGTTGTAATATCCCTGGGATTTTATAGGATATTCAAGTCATATTTGCTATATAATGTGTTATAATATCCCAGGGATTTTATAAATATAACTTTCGTTCAGATTGTAACATGTAATGAAATGTAAAATCAAATGACAAATGTTTTCTTTATATTCCCGAGGATCGAACTCGCAACCTTCATATCTCTAGCCCAGTGAGTGTACCACAAGGCTACAGAGGTGTTGAGAAGCTGAAGTGATTTTTAGATTTTCAAGATCTGTACGCCAGCAACAGATATTCTACGCCGCTTTCCTAAGGTTCGTGAAAGTATGTTCGAAACATAAAAATGTTGATAAATGTTGTTTTAAGGTTCAAAATCGGTTTATAAGTAAGACAAAACACTTCCCCTCGGGTTGTTATGATATTTAAAACCCTTTCCCTCGGAAAATCCCACGGGATGCGGGTTTTAAATATCATAACAACCCCCGGACGTGTTTTATCCTATACCTAAGACCACGTCATTCAAAGTAGATATATTCTTACCAGGTTTTTTAATCGTAGAAAATGTAGTTTTAATGTTAGGCAAAATGTGTCAATAATCGCCTAAAGGAATGATGGAAATCCTGCTGGGATGCATGCAGAAAGCAAAAGTCCCCATGGCCCCTAGTGTGGTGATCTATCTTTAGTCGCTGGCGATCTATAGCCCGTTTTTATATTGTGTTGTTGACTGCGAATTTATTTTTACGTGATCTCAAACTAGTTTTACGTAAATCTGTAATTACGTAAATGTTGTCTCGTCACGATATGGCTGGAATATTGCCGACGTGACGTTAAACTTTACCTCACTCACCCAAGGGAAGATGGCGACGTATCCAGAAGAGACCAGACCTTGACGTTGAGTTATCAGCACAATTATAACTACGTGTGTCGTGCTCAATAACCTTTGTGTAATGAGACACGAGAGATACAAGGGCATCATGATGAAGATGTTGACGATCCTCTGCAAAGGGCACCAAGCCTGCATATGACTTGGCAACATATTTCGTCAGTGCATGAAATGTTTATGGTTCTTAAACTTGTCTGTGGTATAATACCATGACTGTATTATCAATCTTCATGGACAACCTTCATCTGTACTATAACACTGATGATGATTAACATGTTGCGATTCGTATTATTAAACTTTTGAATAAAAGATCATCATCTCAATTGCTTATTGTGTTTTACTTCAGAACAATGTGGTGTACAACAAACATTCTTTAATTTCTGACAATAAAAGAAGAAAAAGACCGGTATGGGTTGTACAAGTGGCACAACACATAATGGTTCTGAAGATGTATCATAATAAAGTTGGTTGGTTTTTATTGTTGAACGCATCATATCATGAGCTCCATCCACGCAATTGGGATCGATGACATGCATCAAACAAGTCAGCGAACTTGACTACCCTATGCCGTTAGTCGCCTCTTACGACAAGCATAGTCGCCTTTTACGGCAAGCGGGGGTTGCTGAAGACCTATTCCTCCCCGGATCTTCACCGGGCCATCTTAATAAAGGAATCGATTGTCACATTGACGTGTGACAAAGACATTTAGCAAGTTTTAAGGTGTAGACAAGGATAGTAACAACAACATCAATTATCATTAATAAGTTTTATTGCCATGATGCAATCAGTTTACTTACATGGGTAGACCAAAAATCCTTTGGGAGAATAGATACTTTTACACGACCTCTTTAGGTGGTGGAAATTTGCTTCAGGAGTATAAATACTTTACATGACATATTTACTCAATTTGAGTAAATTTACTTATGTGAGTAAATATGCTAGTACTCATGTAAATGAATATGCATGTAAACAAGGCTTAGCCCTTTGCGATTAACTAAAAAATTATTTCAACCTAAACTATGTATATTCCGCAGATGGCGTCGTTCGGTGTGGCTTTTCTACTGATAATGTATGTTGAGGTGGTGGCCTATGGAATCACTGTGTCTGTGAGAAAGGACATACATGCCCAAGAGTGCAGCCACAATTCAAATGGAAAGACCAGTAAGCATACAGATTTATATTTAATACAACAGAAAGTAAAGTGATACTTTCATTGGTAGATACAATAATATATAGCCCCACTGGTGATGATTTACTGTCACTGAAGCTGTATCAGATCAACTTGTGAAATCACATATGTAACTTTACATCTAATCATCCAACTACTATCAGGTACGCATGTGTAAAATTATAATTCATTCTAAATGCCAAACCTCGGCACTAGGACATAAGGACATCCAGATACAATGCTCTTCCTGTTTAATACTTATACAATCGTTCCATTACCTTTGAGGGTTGGTTGGTTTGTTGTTTATCGCTGCTCTCATCAATAGTCCAGCTTTATGACGGCGGTCTGTAAATAATCGAGTCTGGACCAGATAGTCCAGTGATTGATATCATTAGCATCGATCCACGCAATTGGGATCGATGACATGCATCAACCAAGTCAGCGAGCCTGACCACACGATGCCGCTCGTCGCCTCTTACGACAACCATAGTCGCCTTTTACGGCAAGCATGGGTTGAAAGCAAACCTATTCTACCCCGGATCTTCACGGGTCCAGGGTTGAAAAAATAATTTGTTCCACTTAATATTGTGAGAAAGTAATTTTAGCCTCAGGTTGTACACAAATGTGGGCAACATGTGTCAACATCTACAGAACCACCCTAACCTACACACGAACCGCATTGTGTTGTCTTATCAAACACTACATAATTCATAGTACAAACAAATGTGAAACAGCATTGTGATAATCGTTAACTGGTTTCTGGTTGGCGAGAAGATGTCTCTTCTCCCTCTCATGGGCATTTGTCTCGGTTTCGAAAGTTCTCGTTCTTGGGTTGCGTCAAACTGACAGGATGTGATCGCAGTATTGTCCTGCTCAACCTGCAGTATCTCCATGAATATTGGTACAGATTTGGATGCCTCACCTCGAGATTATTTGTTGGTTTCAACTCACTGCTCAGTGACATATTTTGTGCTTCATGACAAAGTCTTTGGTGTTAATGGTGGTTGGACATCCTCTTTGGAAATATTTCCAATGGAAGCTTGACGTCTGGTCTGAATCATGAACGTGTATCCGGTAAACAAACAAACAAGTGCCGACCCTTCTAACAATTGAGAATAAACTGTAAATAAACCTGCGCATCTGCCACAGTGAATAATGTTTCTTGTCTCTATAACCCAAATCGTTTACTTAATCATTATTATTTTCTCTCATTGATATATATTTTAAAAGTTATGTGAATACAGTTCACCAGTTAGTGGAGTCGTTGTGTTTTGTGAGATATTCACAAATTAGTTGTATCATATGTGAGATGCCCTCCTTAGGCTTAATCCCCAATGTCTTACTCATCACCACGGTCGGGTGAATTTGTACCTATCACACTAGACTACACTAGGTGTTGGACAAGAAGGAAGACCCCCAATAAACCATGCAGACTGGGCGCCGGCCCGATCGTTGAAACTGCGCTACGCGTCTAACACCGGGAACCCGTTTTAACCCCACTGAGGGGAAGCCCAGCAGTAGCGTAATTTTTAATTAGAGGGATGATTTCAACTGCCGTTTTTTTTATCGTCAGTTCTACGCTATTTCCGAGTTTCAAATTTACTTTTGGTGAAGCATTGGTGATTAAGTATGGCCTAAAGTATTAAAATCTGCAAAGTTGCTATGTTGACTTTACTTGCTCTTTAACGCAAAAAAATAATGTTTCAGATAGGGCGAAGGTTCTGATTCTTGGGGCGGGAGCAGCAGGAATGTCGGCAGCCAAAGAATTAACAAAAAATGGCCTCACAGAATTTTTGATCATCGAAGGCTCTAACAGGGTTGGTGGCAGGTTAAAATCAGTCCAATTTGGTGGGAAAACGGTTGAGGTGGGAGCGAACTGGATGATGCTCAGGGAGGATAGAAATCCGCTGTGGCAGACTATACAGAAATACAATACCTCAGGCCGAAAGCTTGATGGAAATGATGTATTGATAAGATATATGAACGGTGAGGACGTAACGGCCACTGCGGGTACAAAGGCATGGGAAAAACTGTCAATAGCAAAGAAAAAACTGTCGGAAATGACAACTCGGGTGAGAAATGGCGTTCAAAGTGACATGTCAATCAGGGCTTGTTTGGATCTGGGGAAGTGGGAACCTGTGACAGCTGTGGACAAAGTCGTCGAGATTTTCGAATACGATTTTCAGTATGGTAATACGCCTGATGTGTCGTCCTGTCTGAGTGATGGAATCTTGCAACAATACATCGATGATATGTTTTACGTTGCAGACAAGAATGGGTTTGAGTCAGTCATCAGGAACATTGCATGCGAGGTTCTGGAAGAAAACGACGAACGTTTGATACTGAATGAAGTCGTACGCAGTATTAACTACACAGACTGTGGCGTGATTGTTGAGACAGCTAGTGGAAACATATACACAGCAGAGCTTGCATTACTAACGTTTAGCTTAGGTGTTCTCAAAAGCGGATCTGTAATATTTAATCCAGTTCTACCTGATTGGAAGGTCGACAATTTGGCAAGTGTGCGATTTGAAAATTACATGAGTATATACCTTAAGTTCCCAGACACTCCAGGTCAGTTCTGGGATAACACCTTATACATTCTTCACGCTCACGAAAGAAGAGGCTTCTACCCTGTGTGGATTAATCACAATTCGCATGCCATGTCTATCAAAGGCACAAATATTCTTCAGCTTGTTACATTTGGAGAAGAAGCTAACAGATTAAGCAATATTGATGATGCGGAGATTATTAAAGAGGTCATGGAAGTTTTGAGACAAGTTTACTCAAAAGAAAATGTTTCTGAACCGGTAGATGTTTTAATAACTCGATGGAAAACAGACCCGCTGTACCAGGGAAGCTTTGCCAACGTGGAGCCTGGTATTTCAAAAGCGGCTTTCAGTGCCATTCGGGCACCTGTTGGTCGGTTATTCTTTGCAGGGGATGCATACTCTGAGTTTGACGGATACGTTGTGGGTTCAGCCATAAGTGGGGTGGAAAATGCCAGGTGGATTTTGAGAACACTCAGTGATGGTACAGATGCGGGTTCCGTTGATGGCATAAAGTCCGCGACACACACATCTTTGTAAGGAAACACGTTCGTGTTACAAGTTCGTAAGTAGGCGTTTTGCATAAAGTAAAATTTATGAAAGACGTCAAGAGAATACTAGCCTTTTCATTGTAAACACATCCTGGAAATGCTAATGTTATTTTATAAGGCGCTTTATAACGTATGCATCTAGAAATATACTACAGCACAAATAGATAGCACAAATAGGACATATTTGAAGAATGAATCTCATCCAGGAATAAATACATGGAGTTCATGAAATCTGGCAGGTACACGAGATGTATACAATATTTTTTATTCGTTTATACGAAGTATAATTATGGCTCATTTTGTTTCATAGTAATGCAATATGTTATCTAAATAAATAATCTACTTCCTCGACTTTCTTGTTCACTAAAAAGGAGATTTTCAGATTTATTGGTTATGTTTAGATTTCCCAACTGCTTGACAACATTTTATCATTTTCTTATACAGAATGATCTTATTCATTATGAGCAATAGTAAATGATATTCAAGTTTCAATCCTTCATCTGTTTATTGCAGAAGGATGAGTTCTAAATAGCCGTACCAGGATTTAATAATATCTGAATTTTTCCCCTATTTAATTATATCCATAAATGCATTCACACGAGACAAACTACATTTTCAAACAAAATCCACCTTATTTTCAGAAGGGATATGCCGTGTATCTTGTATATTTTGTGCAGACAAAATACAGATCTGTGCTGACACCCGTGAAGATCCGGGTCAGAGTTGACTGCAACCCATATTGTAATAGATGACTATTCTTGTCGCAAGATACGACTAACGGGATCGGGTGGTATGCTTGTCGTAAGAGGCGACTAACGGGATCGGGTCGTGTGCTTGTCGTAAGAGGCAACTAACTGGATCGGGTGGTATGCTTGTCGCAACAGGCGACTAACGGGATCGGCTGGTCAGGCTCGTCAACTTAGTTGATGCATGTCACCGTATCCCAATTGCGTAGATCTATGCGCATGATGTCAGTCACCGGATTGTCTGGTCCAGACTTGCGGACTTGGGGGTTAACAACAAACACACCTGATCTGAAGTAATATTGAATGTTACAGGTAAGTTTTATGAAGGAAGTACATGAAGAATTCTTTTTGATTATCTCACATAAGACATCGTGTTGATCTTGACTATATGCGTCCATATAAGCGACTACACTCAACATTTAACAGTTTTATGTATTTATTTACAGATACAGACCTTATTTAATAGTGAGTGAGTGAGATGGGTTTAACGCTGCTTTTAACAGTAATCCAGTTATATCACGGCGTGACAGCTTAATGTGGGAGGAAAGCCCGAAGTGATGCAGGTCTCATAAGTTTACCACATCGGTTTCTAGCGTGCCCGCAACTCTGCACAGCGAATCTCCATGTTCTCCACATTGTCCACGCATTGTTTGTGAAGATACTCCTAACGTTAGTATTATATCACAGAGCGAAAACAGTTTTACGCCGCATTTAACGTTTCACAGCAGAGGTAAAAACCCTGATGAAGAAACACACAGGAACATTATTACAGTCAGTCTTTTACGAACGCTTCCTCCCCTATGTCGTTCTCTGATCAAGTAACGTTCTTTAACACACAAGCGCATTGACTGTCAAGGAGCAAAAATATACAACACAGTAGATGAATTATTTACACTGACATTCGTTACATAGTCAAGTTTGTTATGATAACAACAATTAGTTAAAAGAGGGCAAACATCTAAGACATCAAATATATTTTATATCTTTTTATTAATTGATTTTTCACATAAATGTAAAATATATAAATTCTTTTTTTTTAATTTGCACAGTTTGCACCCACTAGGATACTAGAACATCAAAGGGAGGAGGGGGGTTGGGGGTTGTGTCCTACCACGAGGAAGGCACGTTGTGACAGCGACGCCAGTACAGGGAGAACGAAGCATTAGTAAAATCAATGTCATTCTTTACAGAGAAAAAAGACTCGACTTGTTCTTATGAATGAGTTGGGTTCAATATCGTTTTCAGCAGTATATAAACGGTTATACAAACGGACTGACAGTATATTCTTTGAGGAACATGTCGCACGTTGGATTATTTACTTCTTTCGTGAAACGCACAAAAATTGAGCAGAAGATTCAAATTGTCCGACTGTTAAAGTCGCAATGTGGCTGAGATATCGCCGATGCGATGTTCAACATAAACTCACTCACTCATTCCTACTGTACACACATACAAGACATGGAACCTTTTGGATTCTGCATGGGGTCAGTCGCAACAGGTTGTTGCGGGATGGCGCATTTTTACCGTTCATCATTCAAAGGGGGTAGCATATTTTCATTCGGTTTCTAAAAAAACATCTGCAACTTGCACTATATCTGAAATAATCAATAAACAAAACCTTAGAAAACGATGTTCAACTCAAATAACAACTTGTCTAAATGTTGTACATTACGATAATTCGATCTGGGGTAAAATAGGTCTTCAGCAACCCACGCTTGCCGTAAAAGGCGACTATGCTAAGAAGTTGTGGTTGATGCATGTCATCGTCTCTCAATTGCGTGGATCGATGCTCATGATGCCAGTCACTGGATGTGTCTGTTTCAGACTCGATTATTTACTGACCGCCGTCATATAGCTGGAATATTGCGGTTTTAGCGGCTGCGTTAAATTCACATTAACGATTTTTTCTGACTTTGTTTATCGTCACTTTGTTTCTTTATGTGTCAACTGCACTACTCTTGTCGATTTCAAAAGGTTACTTAATTTTTGGTTTACCGACACTGTGGCAGAATATAACGCTCGTGGACCCATGGGCTTGCTACCTGTATGATTCACCGTGTGTGTGTGTGTGTGTGTGTGTGTGTGTGTGTGTGTGTGTGTGTTGCGGGCTGCTGGTACTAGTCCGCATTATTGATGGCGTTATAGTGCTATGCTACTGAGTTACCAGTGAGATACGAGTGACAGGCAAAGTAACAACAAGTACCATTTTTAACGTATTTTAGCATGACGCGTCCGGAACCACCGATGGATTTTCTAACATCTATTTACGTGGAAGTCTACGAAAATATTATCCAGTTTTTAAGACACGGGTTTATCTCCCAATCATGTTCAAAGCGATTTTCTGTATCGTATTGTATTAACTACATGAAGAACGAGAACTCCATCAATTTGTTATTTCTATGTTTACCTTGACGACATCAATGGTACTATATATGTTAGAGATGTTTATCGTCTCAGTTTCAAAGGAGTGAGTGGGTTTGGTTTAAAGCCCATTTGAATAGTTTCCCAGTAATATCACGGCGTGTCAGCGTAATGTGGATGTAAAACCCATTGTCATGTAGGTCTTAGACGTGAACATCCGGGGTAGAATAGGTCTTCAGCAACCCATGCTTGCCGTAAAAGGCGACTATGCTTGTCGTAAAAGGCGACTAACGGGATCGGGTGGTCAGTCTCGCTGACTTGGTTGATGCATGTCATCGATCCCAATTGCGTGGATCGATGCTCATAATATTAATCACTGGGTTGTCTGGTCCAGACTCAATTATTTACAGACCGCCGTCATATAGCTGGAATATTGCTGAGTGCGGCTTTAAACAACAAACCAAACAACTTGGACGTTTTCAAACGGGTAGATGCTGACCAACCTAGAAACATGCCTAGGTTAAATCATAGGTTTCTGCCACGCCCAAGGGACGCTTTAGAAGACTGTGCCCCATTGCCCCCGTTTCAAAAGAACATATTAACACACATTATCCTGGCCGCGTTTCCATTCAACTTTTAATAGTAGTTGGTGTGTTTTCGAGGCACTGACGCCTTTCACGATGAGCTATGGTGCCTAGAATATACATGATAGTCGTTATGCTCGATCACCTTGAACATAATTCGATGTTTTCTTTCAGTTTGTGAACTGAAGCACATGCGGACAGTCGCAGCGTTAATAGGTTCCTGCAATGACTTGCGTTTCCTAGGAAACGACGAAACATGAATACCATCACAGAGCTCCATTTGATAAAACAGCGTTAGGCTAGAGACCCAAATTCCGGCCACCTCTTTTGCTAACATCCACGTGGGATGTTTCTCTTGAGGTTCGCCCACGTTTATTTGTTTTCTTTGAGTCACATTCGAGACTTTTACAAGGAGAACGTCCTAATACGCAATTCATATCGATTCTTCTGTTGTATTAGTGCCGTTTCCATTGCTTTCAAGGAACATTGTGAAAGAGTTCGCTTGGTAGTCACGTCCTGCGGATTGGGCGTCTTAAATAGATGGAGGGTGTATTTAGATAAGCCGTTTTTCAGGCAATGAATTGAATGTTATGTGAAATTGAATTACACAGCTTTTCTTATGTTGGTCTTGAATGTCTTTGACGTTTAACAAGGTTGGCGATCTTTAAAGACATTTAACATTAGAACAGGCATGGGAATTGAACATTTGCATGTCAGTTCTAACACATTAAGTGTGTGGTTTTTTTATTTAAAAAAACCCAACCCGAACACTTGTTTCAGAAGTTCATACAATTTTGCGTCCTTTAACTTCCCATATGGTAATAAAAGTGAGAAACTATTAAAGTGGAATTATTTTTTATCTATAATCAAAAAGAACTTGCACGTTCACGTGGAAGTCATGTTTGAATTTGAACATTTTGGAGACATCGAGACATTTTTCAACATTTCATAAAATTATTGAATGGAAGCCATACGAAAAACACGATTTCTGGCGTCTTTCGGCATCGATGACGTAATGCAAACGTCAATGTCCCCATGGTCATGGCGCCACAGTTAACCCAACGTATATGGCTTATATAGAAGACGCTTATCCTTCACTATACTATACCCTAAAGTGTGGACAATAAAGAGTTAGTGAACAGGTTCGTGGCTGCTTTAAATGCGGGGAGGGGTCAATGTAAAAGTGATAATAGTATAAATGCGGATCTATATTGGCTCTACACAGTTATTACTCCGGTGGATAGATCAGTTTCCACTGAAAATACATTCTCAGCTCCCTAAGGAGTGTGTTACCATGTTTTGTACTAACATGTTAGCTAACCGTGTACCTATTCGCTACTGGATTAACAGAGGCATATTTCGAACAAATATGCTTGCCTTTGGAGACACCGTGCGTATTATAACCTATGGTTTAATGTAGGGCACGGCCGAAACCCTAGAACCTAAGTGTCAAGCTTGTCGAGCATGGTCACCCATCCCGCTTCTCTCCGCCGCCACCGTTGCTTAACTTCCGAAACTGACTTGTGCACTATGCACAGAACCACGCGCAACCACAATTCGTAGAGATTTATCACCTAGCATTAATCTAGGATTCGAACCCAGAACCTTGCAAAACGTAAATGTGTCTTATCAGCAGCACTGCTGATCATAACGTATA